GGAGTTATTTTGTAAAGAATGTAAAATTAAATTATAATGGATTGAAATGTGCTTATACTCTATATTTTAATAAATTCCATTTTGCTCATATATATTAATAAAAAAGAGTAGTATGAATCACTCAACCAAATGCAATTTCCAGTTAATTGGAAGATGGGGATGACAACACACCATCTGATATATTGTTCTTATCCATAGCCAAAAGGAAAAAGCAAGTGGATCTCCTTCTATCACCATTTTTTGAACAAGAAAACTTCCTACTTCACTGCAACATACAAAGGATAGGCCTTCCACCTCCCCTTTGAGATTGGATTGCCCCACATAGGTACTTTGTCTTTACCATCTCTACATATCTATCCATGGGCCATGGAAAGGGGAAAAAGAAGGAACTATTGCCCTACCCATTCATTTTATGTTTTATATCATAAATTGTGAGCTAAGGTTATTAGAGGGCTAGAATGAGAACAACCTTATCTTGATACAAATGATTTGTATCAATTTGGCACACTACTTTTTCATAAATTATTGCATGTCTATTTCATCAAAATCACGAGAACAGTTGACTTATTCTGTATGTAACTCGTGCTGTACATCTACTATGACACTAAAGGTGATATTACAACATTCAAAAGTTGATTATAGAAAACACTAAAACAAAGTTTATTTAAGCTTGATTTGAGAGTACTTAATTGTAACTGCAACTGTAAGTTTTTAGTTTTTGAATATTTCAAAAATATATAAAATATATAAAACATATTTAATATTTATTTTAATTAACATTTTATATATTTTATATAAAACTTAAAGCAACAAGAAGCATTTTTAAACAAAGCTTTAATTTAAAAGTCCAACAATTTGCTTTCTACTTTGTTAACATGGATTCGATTATTATACGGGGAGGCAATGTGTGTATGGAGAGATTTTCTTCAACTTTCTTAGTGTCGGAGTGGATAGCTTGTTTTTATCGAGTGGCTATGGGCAGTAGAATGAACATCACACACATGCCTCTTCAAAAGAAGTATTTTAGACTCGAAAATTTTTTTATTAGGATATAGCATTGGGTCAGCCCACCATATGAATATATGGACCAAAAGTTTTGAAGTTTGGATATATTTGGGTCGACAAAATGAGGGGGCATTAGAGGGCTGAAAGTAATGAAGACGCACTAGGAATAGGCACAGTAATTCACTTATGATTTTCATTCTTGCTATTTTTATAGGGACGTTTTTTATTCTTTTCATAATAAATACAAAGAGGTGAAAGGAGAAAAAGGGCGGAAAATAATCCTAAGATTTTGATGGGATACCATATCATCCAGAAAAGGCTGTCTTGAAACTTTTCAAGGGCCAGATGTGCAGGGCATTGCCTCTGGAAAAATGGTTGTTTCATCCCCATCCTAATGTATGATGGAACTATATTGCTTTTGGACCTACACATGGGTTGAAAAAGAATGTATCATTGTCTCATTGATGAATCAGATGTCAAGAGATGCACAAAGGGATAGAAAACTTTGAATTTTTAGGGCAGAATAGTTAATAAAATGCATCAACTAGAGAGTTTCTCTGAAAGGATCCATCTTTGAGAAACATGTTGCTGAGGTATCAGCAGTTTTTTCTTTTTCAAAGGCCAAAAATTGCAATCATTAATTAATTAAAACAATGATAGACTACAATGGGGCATGTCAGCCTTTTCAATCTCATACCAAAATTAAAATACCTCATCCTGAATGAATTTCCTTCCTTATATATAGCAATCATACATTTGAGTTTTCTCAATAATGTCATACCAAAATTGTTATACATTGATCCTACACATGAATTTCCTCATCACTCTTAGCAAATAAACATGTCAATAGCAGGTCTACATGGGACATAGTTAATTACTATTATGCAGATAACATTAGATGAAAGTTAACTTACTATTTGTTTCCTCCAATATTGTTTGCATGGACGTGCCTGTAGAAAATCCTAGCTTTAACATGAGTTTTTCCAAGCGATTTACATTTGTCAGGTAGAGAAAACCAATCTACAAAATATATGGCAAAGAAGTCAGATCAACATATTAAGTTCCAGAGTTATTCAGAATTTAGTTAGATGATTACTGAACTGGGTGAAGAATCAAAGAAGTTAACATAGTGTATAGTACACCATGTTAAACTTGGAGAGCAAATTAAAGTAACATAACTTTCTACCCAACTCTTAAAACATTTCATTTCAGCAGAAGAGTTGCACTACTAGAAACCAGATCCTACCATGGAAAATACAAAATATTTTTCAGAAAGAGAAAAAGTATGACGAACACACTGAAAAGGTATAATGATGCAGAATTTACAAAATGCATTATTGAAAAAAGAGTAAATACTATTTCATGGAAACAAGCAACATTGGGACTGACTAGTGTTTCCAGCGAAGATGCTCTGTTATAAACTGCTACACCAGCACGCTTTTTGGTCCGTGTTTTAGCTGAACTGATATTCTTACCCCATCGAAGAACATCCCTGCAATACAAGTTCGCAAAATTGCAGGAGCAGCTTAAGCATTAAACAAGTGGAGAGGTTTAAGCAAGTTGCAATCGGGCACTTGACCTTCCTCGATCACTACCTCTGTCCCCGTTTAGTTGTCACAATTTTGTGTGGCACACTAAAGAGAAATTTAACAAACACTAGGAAAACACAATCATTAGCCCATTAAACTTATTTACCCCTTCTTTTTGTATTTTAAAATTCATTAAAGCATTTATAAAAGTAGAAAGTGTGACAACAAAATGGAGACACCGCTTTATGGTAAGAGTGACAAGCTGACAACTGAAGGGGATGGAGGTAGTTTTTTATCTACTTAATGCTACACTTTTTTACAAATTGAAACAAAAAATATATATATATATATTATAACTAAAAGGTGAAAATCACAAAAGACCATTTAAACAAGAGCAGGTTGTATGCAATTGCTTTTAAAAAGGTGTACACAAGCATAATAAAAGCGAAAGGCATGTAGATTATAGTTTTCAGCTAACCTTTCATCTTTTGATAAGAAATCACTATTAAGAAGTTCCTGGAGCAATGCATCCTGAATTAAGGGGAAAAAAACAAAAAAACAAATATGAACATGTAGCATGCACAAATAATAAAAAAAACAGTCAAGTTTTTTCTGATAAAGCCAGACATGATACCCTTACTGACCAGAAAAAAAAAATGCCATAATTATCATCCATTCTTTGCAAAATATTAGTCATTCAAAACAACTACAGCTCCCATCAGTAAAATAAAAGGAAGAAGGATTCTTATTCTAACAGATGTGTAAAAACTAGAAAAAGGTTCATACTTGTGCTTCACAACGTACTACTGCTGTCACTCGATCATTGTATTCTTCAATACTGAGTGGAGGAAACAAAAAGTGCCGGCGAGCATAGAGCTACATATTATTAAAATAAAATTACAAATAAGAAAGTAGAAAGTGAGTATAGAAAATGAAGTAACTTTTATGTATCTATGTAGACAAAATGCTTCTAAAACAATAGAAAGTGGATCAACAATCTGAAGAAGGCAGCAGGTGGTTGCTATAATGCTCATAATTTTTTCCAACTTTTTTTTGTTATTTTTGTGATGGACATCCACATGTCAATTAATTGTACATCATTTCCTAAAACAAGTGCACTAAACAAACTACAAAAGGAGGGCAACAAACAAACCAGTGGAAAAAGAAATAAAGGAAATAAAAGCTTGTATTTTAAGAAAAGTGAAAGTCAAGACATCTTAAACTTTTAAGATACAAGGACTACTCGTGAAATTGTTGAAATACCCTTAATGAATCATCCTTGCATGTTGATTCATTAAGGGTATTTAAGTTTTTTCATTACCATTCCCAGCATTTTAATTGCCAAGACATCTTGATTTTTCTCAATCTCATATTTTAAGATGTAACCAGCTTTAGAATTTAGTACATTTGGATATAAGAACAACTTCAACCGAATGGAGATAATATGGAGTCGACACATAAGGAAAAAGTTGAACCTCATATATGCAGTCACCAATATAAGCCAATGTAGCTGCATTGAAGACTGTTCGAGGCTTCTCCACTTTTGGTGGAGTAGGCAACCATCTCTCATAGCCCAAATATGGCTCGTCAGATTCTGCTCTTACTCCTACATGAATCAAAATTCAATCTTTTCCATAAATTTCCCTCTCCATGATCAGAAAGCAGACACAATGCAAAAAAGCATTCAAAAACCAATCATATTCCATTATTTACCTATGATTTTTCAATAAAAAAAACAACCCAGAAAACAATTCAAATACCCCTTAACAAAATGCAACAAACCAGCAATAATAGTCAAAATTCCAGCCTCCCAAACAAGGTTTTGAGCCCATCGAAACGGAATATTCAGAATCAAAGCAAAAGAAACAACTCGAAATTAAAATGAACTACCTTGACCGGGACGATTGAGGAGGTCAAAAACCGATTGGTCAGTCCGGGCGGTTAAGACGACGGTCGGAGAAGGTGGATGTAAGGGAGTGAGGGGATTTTTGGGGGGTTTTCGGGGAGCGTTAGGGTTGTAGGAGAGTCTCTGTTGGGTGTCCCATGAAGCTCTCACTCTGAAGAGAGGAGATGGCAACGTGGTTACAATTGACATTTTGCTATTTCTTTCTGTTTCCGTTGACGGAGAAAATATCAGCAGAAGGGAGCGAAACTGGGCTGTTGGGCCTTGCTAAGATTTCTGAGGATATTAATGGAAAAGTTGTGTTATTGGAATAA